ATTCATTCAGAAGGGATACAGAAACTCAAGTAAGACAGATGTATAATAACCAAATCCAAACTCTAACACCTAGCATTGGATTCCCTTGAAGAAATAAGTAATAAGCATGTTCGCTCAGGCATTTAACATTAAAAGACGAAACAGAAACAAGAACATAAATGACCCAAAAGGAGCATGTTTTGTCCGTGACTTGTTCTGTTCGGGAAACAATAATTATGTAAATAGTTCTAAACATAATCACTTCCATTGGGAAAACACATCCTGCTTAAAACTGCGCTTTCACAGTAAGTATTTACTAATCACAAAAACTGTGTAATTGAACAAATACTATTGTATAAAAGGAAGTTAATAACAGCCATATACCATTATTTTAAAAGAAAATTATTTTTAATAGTGCTGGAAAGACCTATATGCGAAGACTAGAGCTGTGGGTTTTCAACAAAAAACAAAACAAAAAAAACCATTAATAATAAGGCAATCACCACTACATAATATTATAGTCTTCCTGGTACAAAGGAAACACATTCATGAAAGTGAGTGACCAATTTTAAAAACAACTTGAACACACACCTAGACACACACAAATCCAAGATCAAATAATTCAGATTCAAGAAACTTCAAATATTTCATTTTTAATGCAAAATACATATGAAAGATAACATTCAAATTTCTAGTTCTATCATGTTAGAAGCACTGGCCTAAGATATTCAAGGCTCCTTTACACATCTTTGGTGGCTTGATAAGAGCAATTTAACATTCTGAGCCCTAGACTTATTCCAAAATCCAATGACCAGATGAATAACAGATTAACAATTACTTCAATCTAGGTAGCAATAAAACACATTTATTTCTTCTTGCTTTATGCTGCCTATTGATGCAGAGAATAGTAAATTAAAAATATGGCAGAATACTATACAATTTAAACCTGAATAATAGTTCGCTGTTCCTTGACTACTGGGATTTTTGACAATGACAAAATGAAAGGAATTAGAAATTAGTTTGGGAAAGATGTTAAAAATTACTTTACAATGATAGCTTGGCAGCAGAATGGTCCTGTCAGATATTAAAAACATTTGGTCAGCTGTCACATGAATTTTCAAGACCTAAACTCAAAAGTACCATTATAATTAATAGGTGGGGCAAGTTAAGAAGGAAGTGACAGTGGATCTTCTGAAAATTTGTGAGAAACCGCCTGACAGATGCCTAAGGAGACAGGCAGATTATAAACTTACTAAAGCTTAAAAGTAATCTAAAATTCTGTATCAAGCTTGGAAGACTTAGGATAAAGCACAGCATCCTACAACATTCCCAGAGCATTTTAATCAGCACTTTAAGATAAACTGGTAAAAACTACGATGAAAAATGTCTAAAAGGAGTCTTCTGTCAGAAATCATAGGTGGAATCACTACCTCACAACATAACAATTCTAAAAATCACTAATCAATCAAAGTAAATACACAAATTTGTCCAAAAAGAAGTTCGATTTATTTTTAAAAAACTGTTTGCAAAGCACATGCTTTCTTATGAGTTATCTACCTTATTTTAAACACTGTAATTTCAATCTAAAAGAATATATAGCCTTCATTCTCTTCAACTTCACTTTACTCATTGAAATAGGTTCTAAGGCAAATGATCTCTCCTTCTTTAGCCTGGCAGCTTCTTACTTGAGTTTGGGAGGTCACAAAGAACCTCTCTAAAATAAGCATTTATATTGATCCCTTCCATGATTATACTTACTTAAAACCCATAGTCTCCTTCTGAGAATTTGAGGAAATGAATTTTTACAATAGCATGGAATGCCAACCAAAATATAAGGCCAGTTAACAATACTCATCCTTTTCTCTATTACAAAAATTCTAACAGTGGAATTTTGTTTATAAAATGCAGTGTACATTTTATCATCTTGGATAAAATACCTACAGCCTCAGTAGTGGTTAAATTGCAGCTATAAAGGAAATTGTCCCGAGATAAATGGTTTCCCTATGAGAAGGTTTCACTGCTACAGTTCACCTCAGGACAATAAATCAAATTAACTGCACCTTGTCCTCTGTCCAATGACATCATCAGTTTGACCACATCTTGGGAATCGGGTGCAAAAACATATGCTATTTAAGGCATGAAATCTTATAACTGCTTTGTGTCCATTCGACCTCATGCTTCAGGTCTCCAAAGCAGTCATTCACCTGAACATTCACATGAAAGCTACACATTTTTTTCCTGCTGCATTCAGGGCCTGCCTACTGGAGGTGAAAGAGGAAAAATGATGAGAACTGGTAATGTGAAACTGGCTTGCTGTTAGCCCATCAAATCTACAATTTTGTTACAAATTAAACTGAAGACTAATGTCTCCCAAAATATGTACCTAGCAACTGACCATAAAGTGCCTTTTAATTTCAAAGGTTTAACACATCCCTGCTAAATAACACTTCTCTGGTACTTTACTAGCAGGGGTAAAAAAAAAAAAAAAAAAAAACACCAATGAGAAACAACACTGTGTTTTTAAAAAACACACTAAAACTATAAAATAAAAAGGAAAGAAAACTTTACCAAGGGAAAGACCAAAAAATGAAAATTACTGTTTCTTCTAAATAACAAAAGTTAGCCTAACTTTCACAGACCAACTGTCCTAATTTTACATAAAACATAAAATCAATTCTGACAACTTCAAGAGAGGTGGGTGTGTTGGGAGGAGAATAAGTTCCAAGATCAGGGTAGACACAATGCCTATGTTTATTCTTCTATGTTCCCTCATTTAACCATGACACAAACACTCAAAGAAAACACAACCCCATTTTCTGTCTTTAGAAGGGTACCAGTAAAATAAGCAAACCTTGACAGGGATAGCACAAAATTAATATCAGCCCTATTTTAAATCAGAATGAAGAAGCTGAAAAGGAAATGCAGCACTGAGACATTCTGAAAGTGCTGTTAATTGGAATTTCTAAAACACTTACTCTACAACTCCTAGGGAAAAAAAAAACCTATTGGTTTTACAAATACTGCAGACCTTTACAAAGCCTGAAAGTGTTTAACTTCGAGGTAGAAGCCAAGGGGCAGGGGAGAACTATCACTAAAGTAAAGTGATTTATTTGTATTAAATCAAAATAGGTTTCACTCGCCTCTGAAAATGAGAAAAAATTTTTTCCTTAGGCCTAATATTACTGCAAACTATAAGAAAGTCTTTTTAAGAGAAAACAAAACGCGACAGAGTTGAAGCTTAGCTAGGAGCTGCCTTAATGCTGGTTAAGGCCCCAGGAGGGTTTGTTTTGCCCGCGGAGGACGGGTATGTGTATGGAAGTTGGTGGGGGAAAGTCATTTTGGTTATTAGTAAATAAATCAAGCGGCAGAGAATGAGGCCTAGGCAACTGCTAGAGGAGCCAAGGCCTAGCTCTCCCCCTGCTCTTCCCAGCACAGTCTGGGTTTGATCTCAGAGCCCCGTGGATTGCCAAGGAAAAAAAAAAAAAAAGAATCATATCGAACCACAAAAGCACATGGGGCGAATGTAAAATATAAACACGGCGTTGGGCTGTGAGTGGCTGTTATTAAAGGTCTGAATTACTAAACATGAGAGGCGGGGAAAGCCAGGCGGCCATTTCAATAATATAAACCTCCCCGAATTAGACATTATTCAAATGAGAGAGGTTCGGCTAAGCAGAGAGTAAAGAGGACCCAGCACCCAGCAAGAAACCACCACCACAGAACCGGGGAGGGGGATCCCCGCCCCTACCTAACTCCCAACAGGAGAGGGGAAATCTAGAATATTATCAACTCGTCAGGCCGGCCGGTTCTGGGGCAGGGGCAAGAGGCCAGCCCTCTACATCCGAGTTCTTGAGAGGCCTCCGGGTGCTTCTGGGGCCTGGGAGCCAGAGGCCCCCTAGGGCCCCCGGCCGCGTCCGTCCCGGTCCGGCGCAGAGGCGGGGTCGCGGGGAGGGGCAGGGCGGCGATGAAGATCAGACCACGCCAGGCACCTCCAACCCAACTCCCCGGAGAAAAGTACGACCCACGAGGGAGAGTGGGCTTTTCCAGGACCTACAGGGACTGCTGACCGATGGTCCAGAGCACATGGGGCTGCCCCAGAGGACATCCCCCTCCGAGGGGAACTTTCCACGAGGGCCGCCTTTCAACCCTGTCCGTCCCGGAGGGTGCGAAGCGGACCCCTGCGCGGGCTCCCCAACCCCGCCGCCCCGAGGCCACTTCACAGAGCCCACGACCGCTCACCCCTACCCACCTAGAGCGCAGGCCTGGCTCAGGTCAGGCCGCCACACGGGGGACAGGCGGGGCGCGGCCGAGGTGCCCGGGGCCGTGACCCCCGGGCTCAGCCCCGCTCGGACCCCCG